TATTTCTATACAATTTTAAAATTGAAAAAATAACCTTGTTAAGTTCTAAACTAAAACGTACATTTACATTCTGTTTGATATTTCGCGTATTCCACGAACTCGTCAGTGTGAATTTTGACCGGAACAAACGCGGAGCACGTCATGCGTTTGTCTATGAATCACTTGTACAGTTGTCCATTCATAAAAACATTGACCAATTAGTTTATTTAACGTTGCGAGAGGAAAGGCAGCCGTTCTCGATGACCAGGTCGGTGTGGACAAAGAGCGACCACAAAAAATCGTTAGCAAGGGACATTCCGGAAAATAATTAAATTTTTTATCCTGTCTCTTCCTTCCCTTCATTTTATTTTTGATTTTTTAATGTTTGTGCATTTAGTTCAATTCGATCTGCTTTCACTCAATGCAAATGAATATTGGCAGAAAGATACAAATAAACACGATTTACTGAATAATGTGGTATTTTAATAAGGCATAAATGATTTAGAAAATGAGTAATAATATAAGTTACGTTATACAACATACAAACACACATTTTTACCTCCTTGACTTCATTAATTGCGAAAAAAGTGACAGGTGGTGAATCTATTTTGTACGAATTTGTATTTCGTTTAATCGGTGCCTCTAACGTTGTAAAACATTGTTGAGAAGTTTAAAAAGCTAATCTGTGATCATGAACTCTGCGTAAGCATCGGGAATTATAATTTAAATAAAACGCGATAAATTCCGCGCAAATAGCTTAATTTCATAACGTTTAGTTTTTTAGCCCGTTTAGCCCGTTTGACCTGGTGACCCTTGGCACGTGTAAATTGGCCCGTCCGCCCCTTCGAGCGGACATTCTGGAGCGTTTAGCACCTACCCGGGCTGCAGTCGCCGAGAGAGGTTGGAAATTTGATCGACGACCATGTCTCGGCGTCGTCAGTGCCGCCAATTGGAAAACGGTGCGAGCGTGATCGTTCTGCTCTTTATTTGAAGTTCCGTATCGTTCGAACCGTCCACTGTTGCAAAGGCTACCTTCGAGCCTACCTTTAACAACTCAGTGACGCTGTCGTTCTCGCGACCGACTTGATTGTTGAATAATAATTGGAATTGTTTCTTGTTTAACGGAGCTTTTTCTCAACTCAATTTTTGCATTTTCTACTTATCAGAGGTGTCATCGCTATAGATGCTGTAAAATATGTCGTGTGTCAGAATTGAAAAATTGTTTCACATTTATAAACAACCTTACTTTTGCTCTAAATAGCGTTCTAATTTACCTTTACAATATTTACATATACATAAAGATATGTAAATATTGCAAAGGTAAATTAGAACCAAACGATAATATAAAATATAATATATCGATACAATTTTTTCGAGTCGTTTCAATGTTTCATAGCATTGCCTTGCGTTAGACTGTGCACTCTAAACATTTATACTGAATGTATAGACGATAATAGCTTAAACAAACAAGACCTTTCGGAAGGCGACATCGCCTCCCGTTTCAAAGTCACACTAATTATGAAGTGAAATCGTCTCAAAGAAACAGAGTTATGAAGTCTTTGATAACAAGGTTGAAGTTGCTTTAAATAATTACTCTTAAATGAAACAATTACCTATATAATTTGTCAAACTTAACTATATCATACAGCTCATCTTCATTTATATTGTTCTGTCTTTACTTCCCGGGTTTCTGATACATAGTCATACTATGGATGATATCTTTATTCTTATGCTACTACAGAATTAGATTTTAACTCAATCGAGAAAACGTTCACAGTTTTGGGAAAATTTAACAAATTAAGCTTGAGTTATTGGAAAAAAATATCCTATAAAGTTTCAAAAAATAACTTCAATATTTTCATTAAGAGAGGTTCTTTGCGAGCCTGAAAGTCAAATTTTATACCGATTTAGGAATTCTATTTTATACCGATTTTGCAATCGGTGTTAGGGCCACGCAGCAGCCTCGGCTGTTGCACGAATGGGCAGGCCCGTCCGGGTAAGTACCACGACCTCACAGATGACCAGCGTAAAGTGGAAGTATGACAAATATTTTCGCGTTTCGTCTGGTGAGTGAGGTAGCCGGAACCCAATTTTCAAAAGGTTGTCAACGCATCTGTAACCCCCGGGTGTAGCAGTTGTCCATGGGCGGCGGTATTCACTTACCATCAGGTGAACCGTCTGCTCGTTTGGCAACTTTTCGCACACAAAAAAAAATTCTACAAAAGAATGACATGGAAGTAGAAAATAAGTGAAACATAGTGCAGCTTGGATGGCTCAGTCCTAGGTACGAATATAATAGATGAATTACAACATTACAGCAAAAACGGCCTAAATGAATTAAATTCTACTGTCATTAATTTCGCGGGCGCAGCGATCCAGCAGTACAAAGGGATCGGTTCGTTTTTTGCTTACAGACGAAACTCGCCAATTAGGGATTTTAATTTAAATTATGTATATAATTGTTTCCACGCGGTGAACGCAACCGGGATCCAAGGAAGTGAAGAAACGTTCTAATTAAAAAACCACACAAACAGATGTACACATTTCTATTTATATGATAAAGATTGTAAACGCGCGCGCGGTCTGATTGTATGTTTTTTTTTAATTGTGAAAAAGCGGTAAATGAGCAGGAGGCTAACCTGATGGTAAGTGATCACCGGCGCCCATACTCTTCCCATCTTCTTTAGGAAAGAGTGTGCTAAAGTATATATTAACAAAACTGGCCAAGCGCTAGTCGGACTTGCGCATGAAGGGATCCATAAAAACGGCATAAAAACACGTCTGTTGTATTGCAGCCCCACTAAATATATAAATAAATATTTTTATATATTTATAAATACGTACACAGAAAGACACATATGAAGAAAGCATACATTTTGTGTGTGAGCAATGTGGGATTCAACGACTTTTAAGTTTTCTCGATTATGTTTGAATTTAACTTGCTGTGCCTCATTGGCTTTTGGCGCAGCGACTCCAGATTCGAGTCTAACACGGGAGAAGTATCTAGTTCGAGCTTTTCAAGACGTGCTTCTCAGCAAGACAACGCGCACGAGAACGACCTCATAAACAGTGAACTTCGATCCTTATTTTCGCCATGTTACAGTTTAGATTAAGCCCGACGCTGTTTCCCACTATAAAAAAATGGTCCACAAAAGTAGAATCAAGTTATTAAAATCTAAAGTGTACTTACACAATGTAAATTTTAAGGGATGAGAGCGAAAAGCGCACAGCAGCAATTACTCAAGGACCTATTGACGTCGCGCTCAAATACATGAATATAATAAAAATCCGATTCGGCCAGCGACAACAACAACAACAACAAAAAAAAATACATTTTCCCAAAGCCGTTCGCGCCCACGGATATTAAAGGAAGCGTCCATTGAGCGTGGACAATGAAATAATAAACGTTCGCCTCCACCCGACCCGTACTGGTCTGCTGTATTTTCCTTTATTATTTGCAAAGTAAATTTTCCGCGCACCCGCGCCAACGTGCCCTTAGGGTGCTCTGTCACTACAAGTTCGTTATTTTCGTGTTTGCCCGCCCCGGTGTGTTTGGGGCTTAATGTTTTTTTTGGCCGCGAATATCGGCCGACGGGAATGGCGGGGACGATTGCGTTTCCGGCCGGCGATTGACCAAATACACGGGGGCTTATGCGAACGACACGCGATATGCACATAGTAACTTTTGAATCCTTGAATGGAAACAACTCGGCCTGCAAATAACCGTACGTATAAATGATAGAAGCTTTCTTTATATATATAATTCTTCTTTACGTGTGTATGACACTGAACTGCTCTTAAACGGCTGAACCGATTTTAATGAAATTTTTTGTGTCTTCAGGTCGATGCGAGAATGGTTTAGATTCAAATTTAGTTTTTTTTAATTATAAATTGTCGTGGTATTTAAGTCGTGTGTACAACGTCTGTCGCTAGTGTATCCGCTAGTGTACATATATTTATAGAAGTACGAGTATAATTCATTATAGTCGAGCAACCTGAGTATAAATCCCAATGAGAATAAAATATAATTTTAAAGTGCTGATTTATCACGTGCACAGCGGTGCGGGCAAATATCGTGAGGAAACCTGCATACTTTCGAAAGAATAACAAAAAAAATTTTCCGAAGATCTGTGAAGTCCGCCAATCCGCAGTGGTGCCGCGTGGTGGACTATGCTCTAATACCCTTTCTACACAGGAGACCGTTACAGCAGTCTTTACAGTTTTATATGAATTTTTTCCCTAAAAAATATGTTATAAAAGGGACAATACCCTTTATTTCGTAAAGGGGTCAGTCATAATCCATGCCCTTTTATAAAGCGGTGTGGACCTTGCAACCCTAAAATCAGAATTTTATTAGTCTGTTTCATTGTACAGAATAATCTTTTGGGCTAAGTATATACCAGAAAAAAAATGACCCTTGATCATGAAATTTAGCTACAAAGTTAGATTGTTGGTTTTATTAACAACTTGATGCCATGGAAAAAAATAAAAAACAATGATTTATTTGACTGGAATTTCTTATCAGTGCTTCTCTGCATTTTGATAACAACTAAGTAGGTAAGCTCACAAATGCGTTGCCGGCCTTTTAAGAAAGAGTACGCTCTCTTTTTGAAGGTTCCCAGGTCGTAACGGTTCGGAAAGACCGCCGGCGGCAGTTGGTTCCACAGAGTGGTTGTGCGAGGCAAGAAATGCCTTAAAAATCGCGCTGTTGTGGAACGCTGGACATCGAGGTGGTGTGGATGAAATTTTTGGTTCTGGCGTGATGTCCGATGGTGGAATTCAGCCGCCGGGATCAATCCAATTAATGCCAAATTTATTTAAGTACCGCGCAAGAATCAAAGCGACTGTGATATGCAGTGCATTCCATGGCTCATCTGATCTCCTGTGCCGCCTGCCCTTTCACCTGTTCGCAGCAGGATTTGAGGGATGCCACAAATAGGGCATTGTCGAAGCGGCTAAGTTTAAGGCCGGTATAGGTGTGATTTCTCATCGACACGTAAAGAAGAAGATCAAACCAATCAATAGGAACCTCGACGAGGCATCATATCGCGTAAGGTGCAATAAATCGCGGTGTGGTCGCGGCCGACCGGCGTGTGGCGCATGACCGGCCGGTCGCCGACGGGCTCGGCGGGATGACAGGTCGTGACGAGCTGGTCGTGACGGGCTGGTCGTGACAGGCTCGTCGTGGGCGCACGCACGTGGCACTCGGAAGCGCCGGTCACGACCGCGGCCCCTTTGCCACTCCGCGTCCGCTTCATTGTTACGAACGCGTGTCGCGGTCCATGGTCGGTCCTTTTGTCGTATACTCATTTTTCATTAACAACGTCGCTGGTTTTTATTTAAATTCTAAACTTTCTTTTTATTAAAAACTACTCAGTACAGCACTGTCCATCCCTCCTACCGGTGCAGTCTCGGAGGTTAATTAAAAAAGAGATAAGAAAAAAGTGATTTTACGCAGGTTATCCTAGTGTTAAATCCTAAAATTGAAATGTTCTCTATCCCATTATTCACATTAGTGCAAGTCTGATTGATGAGTTTCTTGCCGGTTGTCATGCACCCGTAGGGTTGCAAATGCGTCGTCACCTTTAAATAAAGTGGGCCCCGGCTACCTCACTCCAGACAAAACGCAGAAGTGTAACACTTCTACTTTACGCCGGTCTTCTGTGAGGTCGTGGTATTGACCCGGACGGATCTGCCCATTCGTGCAACAGTGAGCACTGTTAAAGTTATCTTTCTGTTTTTCTTTAATGGGTACGTTAAAATTGTTTACATTGAGCTATTAATAACTACAAAAATGAATGTAATAAAACAAACTCTCGACATCGTAAAATTCATTATTCCGAGATTAATATTCGAGTGCTTTTATTCAATAAGACCATTACTATTCGTAAACAACGGGGAATCAATATTTATATTCGTAAAAGGCACTCAGATGTAATAACTGCGATCACTACACAGCGGGGTTATTACGCAAGCGTTCGTAATTGACGGCGCTGTCTTTCGCAAGCCAGTCGAGACAAAAAGTTGGACGATTCGCGATAACTTAAAAATGTTGAATCACCGCGATCATTGAGCAACCTTGTAGTTCCTTAAAGAGGATTCGACTTGAGGCGGCATCTGATAACAGAGGTAATTAATAATCGGCAAAGTTCAGAACTGCAGTTACGCTTGAACCGAACAGACTATAAACACTTTTAACACGGGACATGATAAAAAACGGACTTAATGAGTTGAAATGTTTTTATATTTATTCTTTATTTCATCAAATCTGTCGTCTTTGCTGCTAGGATCAAGTATACAGCGCGATGAGCTGAAATGCGTAAAAGTGCTGACGGAAAGATCCTTCTATAATGAAAACAATTTAACGGCGTATTAAATTGCAATTTAGAATCATCCAATAAATAATTATGACAGTCCTAACCTTCCTATTAAAAAAAAAAAAGTAATAATGAGCATATTAATTATTAAGAGCAGGCCAAATAGAACCCTTAATCAACTTTAATACATATAGGTAGGTATAGGGTATATGTGGAAGGGTCAAAAGGACTGTGGAAATTATTAAGCATTACCCACCCAATGTTTGTATTGATGTAAATATTATTGCAGTTAATTTCAGTTTCAACCCAACACATTAAATGTGTTTTCATTTGACAGAATTAGAGTTCCTTAAGACTCGAAACTATAACGGTGTTAATACGAGTCAGGAGTTTAGTAATCGTTTGCACACGTCTCCTTGTCCTATTCTCAGACGCAGGGAGGAGATATAGTGACGTCACAATCGTCTTTTGAACGTATGGTTCTAACAATGAGTGCACCTCAACTGTTACTTATCTACGAGTTATGTAGCTTAATAAGTTATTTCTTAATCAAAGTTCACGGACATCAAAACATAGTTGTGTATGACACGACATTCTGATATGTTCCTTGCTTTTATTTGTACGTGGTAGAGCCCCGCAGCAGCCTCGGCTGTTGCACGAATGGACAGGCCCGTCCGGGTAAGTACCACGACCTCACAGAAGGCCAGCGAAAAGTGGAAGTATGACAAATACTTTCGCGTTTCGTCTGGTGTGTGAGGTAGCCGGAGCCCAATTTTCAAAAGGTTGTCAACGCATCTGTAACATTCGGGTGTGGCAGATGTCCATGGGCGGTATTCACTTAACATCAGGTGAACCGTCTGCTCGTTTGACAACTTTTCTCATAAAAAAAAACCTAAAAAGTAACAGGTAAGGTTGTAATAACAAGCAAATAAGAAAATAATGCATTAAACTATTTATTAAAGTTATTTTATTAAACTACATGCAATTATTAATTTGAAAACTTCATCAATTGTAACTAACTGGGTGTATTAATAAGCATTTACTGTTATGCATGTTCTTTAAAACGTGTTATATCCTTACTTCCTTACTAATATTGTAAAGGCGAAAGTTTGTATTTATGCATGGATGTTTGTTACTATTTCACGCAAATACTACTGAATGGATTTGAATGAAACTCTATAATAATATAGCTTATACATCAGAATAAGACATAGGCTATAATTTATATACATATTTTATGTATATAAATTGTCTTTCTGTCTGAATGTTACGCCTTCAGCCTATTCTACGCAGACGTAGTCGCGGGCAGCAGTTAGTTTAAAATATTATACATTTATAACTTAGTTTTATTACAAGAACAAGTTTCCTTGATCACTTAACGTTGTGGCAGTTAGACAAAGGTTGAGCAACTACTTTCGTCGCCCGTTCTCTGTGCGCACAATCCGCTGTCAGCTTTCTAGTTAAACTTAGATCGGAGGAGAGATAGAAACTTAACTTGCCGTCATGCCAATGATGAATGGGCGTTTCGGACAAGAATATTTATGCACCGCTAAGCCTGCGCTTGCAAAATTTTTTAAAGGATTTACACGTCCAACGGGGACATTGCCTTTCCGAGATTAAGATCGTAGCGAATTTCGAAGTGTGTGCAGTGACAGTTCAATTTTGTCGGCGTAACTGGGTTGCGTTAGAGTCAAAATTGGCTCGGAGTTTAAAGATATATTTTAACCCTGGAATATAAGCTGCATTACGTTGGCAAAAATAAAAATCTAGTAACGCAAGGAAGCGTACTAAAGTATTTTATACATTTACCAATATTTTAGCAGTAGGTATATTAGCATCAGAAGAATGTGAAATAAAGATTGGTTAACAAATCATTAAATATATTGTAGCGCCGTAACCATAGACTCCGTAAAGTGTTCGAAATGTCTGGATATAAAATAAATTATAAGCGAAAAGCGTTAATTACTTTTATTCCACAACGGGCAGTATTAACGTAAATAACATGAAAACTTCCATTAAAGCAACCGTGGAGGAGTTTATAGAAGTCATCCCATTAGTCTTTGCTATATATTTGGGCCGTGATAGCTCAGTGCCCGGGCGCTCGCCTTTAATTCAATATACACGAGCAACCCGAGTTCAAATCCCGGTGCCGGCTCCGACGAATTTTTTAATTTTAAGTACTGGTTTATCATAGGCTCAGTGTTGAAGGAAAACATCGTCAGGGTACTTGCATATTTTTCAAATAATAAATAAATTAAAAAATAAAAATATACATATATTTTGAAATGTGAACATTTTTTAAATTGTAAATTTTTTTAGACAAATAAACCAAAACTTTGCGGAGCTGCGGGATTCGAACCAGCGTCTTACGAAGTTTTCACTCCAAAAAAACAAATATAGGTACTTAATTTTTATTCTCACTCCCTACATGTGACAGACCGTGGTAATAAGCCATGTGCTATGTTTGCGCGTAAGCACCCCGAAGAAGTAGGAACTAAAACATTGTCACGAGACCTCGACATTCTTACTGAGGTCTTCGGATCGCGAGTCGACGTCCCCGGCCACCAGACCGAAGCGCTCCGCTTTTAATATTCTATGTGTTCCAGAAATAACTCAGTCCCTCAACATAACGCGATGCGGCCTTTCGCATCCACTAATGGGCTATTGTAGGGCGCTATCTTGAGCCGGACAGCGTTTACACATTGTACGATTCAATTTTAATGCGAAACCGCCGACAATTGTGGCGCGCGGTGGGACGGAGCGCCTTTTTAGGGGCGAGCCGGCTTCCTTACATAGGCGGTGCGCCGCTACCAAATGCGGTGGGACCGGACCACTGACATACGCATTTCGTAAGGCAATGCGTTGCGTTGTTTATTTCTTTGCCTGTCCCCGTGTCGGTCTCGACGGGCCGCGCGTTGAAAAGCTTTTGTACATTCGAATATTATATCGCAAACTAGCTGGCCCGCGGAACTTCGTGTGCCATCTAGCCGATAAATTTACTTTACACCGCCATCTGTTAGAATCTTATGAAACTCACAGATTATTATAATTCTTCGTCATATAGTAAACAAATAATTTGAAAAAAAAAAAAAAAGTATTGCGAGTATAAATTGAGATATAAACTATCCTATCTCTCAAGTTGGATCAAACTGCACACAGTGTGCAAAATTTTATTAAAATCGGGTGAATAGTTTAGGAGTTCATCGCGGACAAATAACGTGATACGTAGTTTTTATATATATGAATTGATTATACACGATTGGTTTGTTTATACACGAGAGCTCGGATTTATTATGAGCTAGTCCAAAATACATCGCACCATCCTTTCCGGTTGGTGGCGTTGCATTATTGCTATGGAGCGTTGCATTAGCAGAACAAATAAACGTATTCAAAGATGCGATTGTGTTATGCGTGTGACCTAGTGTGATGTAAAGGGAAAGTGGCGTTTCTTTATAGAAAAAATCTCGGTCAATGCCGGCGCCATTTTGTATCAATGAGCGGAGATACCTAAAATTGGAGCAGATCGGATTAATTATGCATATATAAGTTTTAGAATGTAAACTGTGATTATTATTCGACAATAGACTTCACGTGAAAAATCCGTGTTAGCTCTTTCGTTTGGGCAATGCTTGGAAAAATATCGTATATGTGAAACAAGATAAAGCGTGGAGAGTATTTCTCAAAGCAAGTTACCCAAGTCGAATGTACGTACGGATATGTACGCGTGGACTCGGACGATTTATCTCTGTCGTTGCTCGCCCTGCCTTGCATTAGGCTGATAACGTGAGGTTAAGTGAGACGTCCACCCGCCACGGGGTCGTGGCGTCTCGATTTAAATGAATGCGACCGGTCGGTGGGCGATTTCGTAATTGGCCAAAAGTAGTCTATCATTACAAATAGAAACATGGCTGAACCTAACCTAAACACAAAACACAAATGCA